GTTGAAATCAATTTAATTGAGTTATGGTCTTAAATTAGCTGAAATCAATTCAATTGAGTTATGGTCTTCAATTTAGCTGAAATCAATTCAATTGAGTTATGGTCTTCAAATTAACTGAAATCAATTCAATTGAGTTATAGTCTTCAATTTAGCTGAAATCAATCATTAAAACTATTAAAAAACTCTGACATAAACTCAATCATTATCTTTAACCTTTTTTGGAGAAAAATTTTTAGAATAAAGAATTGATAATAAAGTATTGAATTCATTGCAGAATAAAACATATGAATCCTTCTTTTTAGAACAATTTCAAACAGAAAGATTCTGTTTGAAATTGTACTAATGGTTCAAAAAATTGAAATAATGGTTCATGAGATTTAGGAAAGAGTCTTGCATATTAACTCCAAATACAAAGATAAACTAGAGAAATATACAAAATTGTGATTACAGTATCTAACTATATAACATTAACCAAAACACTCTTTTTTAGGCAGGATAGTGCAGCGCTGAAACTTATTAAAAATTACTTGTTGTTGTGCTCTCCTATATAAAAAAGAGTATTCTTATCACCTAACTATACAGATAGGTTAAGAGCAAATATTAATGTTTTGAAAAAACAGTAGACAAGTTTATCTTATTGATATCTAATGTATTCTAGAAATACTGAGGTTGCTTACATTTAATGTATTTTTTTCTTAGAAAAAAGAAAATAATTCTTTTTTAATTGTTTAAATATTTATATTTAACATAAGGTTATTAAGTCTTATGCTATTGGATTCAGAGATAATTTTGATGCTACAAAATCTGAGAACACTTTTACTATTTTGCCTAAATAAAAATTGTTCAATAAACAAAATAAATGAATCAGTGATTAAATGTTCCAGAATGTTAAACAGAATGTTCTAGATGGTCCACATTTATTTGTTAACTTTATTAAGATCATCAACCTGAAGATTATGAAAATATTTCTCTACGGAAAATTTATGTATTGATAAATAAATAGCAATGCAAATATCTTGATGTAGTTAACTACTTTAAAAAAAGTAATTATTTTTAACATTTCTAATTTTAATATCAATTTTGTTATCAGTAATGTAACTTGATATTGGTAATCATTAAATAATAGAGAGTAAAGCCATCTTCATACTGAAAAGTACTCAAATGCCTTGAAAACTAGTTTTCAAGGCATCATGAGTACTTTTCAGTTATATTACTGATAACAAAATTAAGAAACGTTAAAAATAATTACTTTTTTTAAAGTTATATTTTGGAAAATGTTCCACTTAAGTGCTTTAGTACTAATCCATTTATTCAAAATATAGATAATACGACATTTTTTTTTTTTTTTAATTTTTTTATCAAGTTTTTTAAAGCTGCTAATATAAAAAGAAAATATTCTTGAAAAAAAAAAATTCTTTTTTTTTTTATCAAACAAAACATTCTTTTAAACTACAATAGGCCAAGTTTAAAAGAATGTTTTGTTTGAAAAAACATTTACTAAATACAAGTCATAAATATGTTTAGCGTTTTTACTAGTGATTTATTCCAAATCCCTTAAAAAAATATTTTAATTTAAAATTCGTTCTATGATTACTGCATAACCATCATGCATTAACCATAGTTAACCTATGGTTAATGCATGATGATTATGCAGTAATCATAAAACAAAATTTGAATTAAAATATTTTTTTAAGGGATTTGGAATAAATCACTAGTAAAAACACTAAACATATTTAAAATGAAATCATCATCATCTATGGCATATATGATGATGATTTCATTTCAAATTTGTTAACAATAAAAAACAAAAGTAAAAAAAATAATAATAATAAAAACTGAAAAAAATGTCTACAGTTTTTTTAAAACCTGTATGTTTATATATACACTGAGCTGTGAAAATTATTAGAATCGTCTTCAATTACTATGAAGTTTATCATTATTCCCATATTTCTTTATTCTGTTTGTTTGTCCGTGGTCACTCTCCCCGATTTAGGTCTGCTATGTGGTCCACAAGTTACGTTGCACTTTACGGGAGGAGGAAGAGGGGTTAGTAGTTTTGTGACGACTTAATACGGGACTTGCTACTAAAGTGTTATGATATCGTTACATTAGAGTTATATGGTTCTATCTGCCTTTTTTTATGTTGTGAGAACTTAACTTTCAATATTTATTTAATACATGTTTTACAGCTGTTGATCATTATAATTATAAACGATAAGTTGTTTATGTTATCTATATTTCATTATTTAACATATTTTATATTAAACCACTTAAAAAATGATATATAATATATCATTTTTTAAGTGGTTTATTTTTATTATTAATTATTAATTAAAACTTTGATTGTTAAATTCTTTCAACATAAAACAAGGCAGATAGAACCCTATAATTCTCATGCGACGATATTTGACGAGGGGGAGGGAGGGGGTTAAAAACGATCTAAAATTGCGTGACGAAATTTTTATGGACGAGAAAACTATTCAGTATAATTGACAGAGCAATACCTGTAATTATTGATATACTCAACAATGATAAAGAAGATCTTGCGAATAAAACTAAATTAACTCTTACTGATATTCACCAACTAATTGAACTCTGTCTAAGCCAATGCTACTTTTTATATAAAAACGTGATTAGAACTATACCGAATTCTGGCCCTATTGGACTATCACTTATGGTCGTTGTTGCAGAGGCATTTTTGCAACATTTAGAAACAAAAACTTTGAGAGTTGCAGAAATAAATTTATTTTCACCAAAGTCATTCAAACGCTATGTAGACGACAGCCATGCGAGATTTGATTCATAAGAAAAACACGACAAATTTTTGGAATTGTTAAATCAACAAGATCCTGCAATTCAATACACATCGAAAATAAAAAAACGAAAGGAAAGAACTAAACTTTTTAGATATAACAATAATAAATACAAACAATTTCCACTATGATTTCAAAATCCATCGAAAACCCGCAATTACGAATATACAAATAAAACCGAATTCTAACATTAATCCTGCAATAACATCTGGAGTCTTCTAAGGTTTTATATCAAGAGCCTCAAAAATTTGTTCTCCAAAATACCTTCAAGATGAAATACAATTTATAATAAATATGTTGGTCGAAAATGGCCATAAAAAATCTGAATTAGAGCTTATAACAAAAAATTATCTCAAAATCAAAAATAATCCTGTTGGTGTAGTTGCAGATCAAACAAAAAATGGTAACATAACAATAAAACTCCCATGGATACCAAGAATAGGATCAAAATTAAGGAAAGAGCTCAAGAGATATGGCGCTAAAGTTATATTTACAACACCACCAACTTTAAAAAGAATTTTGTGTAATAACAAATCCAAACTATTGCCAAATAGCAAGCCGGATGTGTATAAGCTTACGTGTTCATGCGGTGGCGTTTATATTGGAGAAACAAAAAAGAAAATTATATAAAGAAGTATTGAGCATCAGATAAACAGTATGAAAGGTAATTGGCATGCTTCCGGAGCCACAGAACACTGCAAGAACTGCCACGGTATATTTAATTGGATGCACCCAAAAACGATCGCATTCAAGTCTAACTACCATGAAAGGAAAATAAGAGAGTCACTTGAAATTAATTATGCCCAAACAAATTACAAAATAAGACACTTCCCACCGCTTTTGATCAAAGACAACGGTGTTAAAATTGCGTCAAATAGCTAGCGACCTCTTTTTAAAAAAATCATAGAAATTTCAAAATAGTTGTTTACGTTACGTCAGCTTTTTACGTCAGCTTTTTACGTCATCTTTGTAATGTCTTCTATAACGGTTTTTTACATACGTTTTTTTTTTTGTGAGATTTTTATTGTATTTAATTTTACGTCTGATGACGGTCTGAACTATTCAGACTGAAATATTACATAAATAAATTAAAATATTAGTACTTAGCTGTATTGTATGTGTTATAAATTAAATAAATAAATTATCAAGTACTACAAGAAATGTCATTAAAACAATTCAGTATAAAAAAATTAAACGATTTTAATTTATTTAAACGAAATCTATGAACTATATCTTTTTATTATTTTTTTTAATTTACATTTATTTCGCTGTTTAATAAATACAATTAACTTATATATTCAAAAAAATACATACATATCCAAAGTAAAATTGTACATCTTGTCACAAGGCACCGTTTTGTATATAAAATATAAAATGGAGTGGATTTTTTAATGATTTTTGTTAGATAAAGAATTAAACAGACAGTGGCTCAAAGAAGCTAAGGATGACGATACGTCGTCGCAATCTTTTCATAGAGCCCCTTATAAAGTTTTAATACAATATAGTCATTTTTATTTTAAACTAAAAATTGAAAAACTAATAAACCATGAAAGTGTTATAGTATTCTTTACTATGCTAAAAACTAAAACAAAGACTAACATAAAAAAAAACTAAAAAAAACAACTAAGAAAGACGGAAAAAATGATCATGAGACAATGATCAAAAGAGTTAAAATTTGTAATTTTTTTTTTTTATTTTTATTATTTTTTTTTTTATTGTTATTTAGGTGCTAAATTAGGTGCCAAGAAGACCTAACGGTCTTGTCAAAAAGCACCGCGGAAGTACATTTAACCAGGAAGTTCACGCCTCCTTCCTTACCGTGACGTGAAAATATGTCCAAGCCTTGTTTCGAACCTGGATCTTCTGCTTATAAAGCAAGCGCTCTTACCACTGCGCCACGGCCGCACGTGTACATATATAGTACATATCTAATATCCATATTTCTATGTACTATATCTACATTTCTGATAAAAATATTGTTGTTGTTGTAGTTAATGTTTCTAAGATCCCATTTGCCTGGAACAACCACAGCAACAGCCTTAACCCCAACTCTTTTAGTACTAAAAAAATTGGGGTTAGGGCTGTTGCTGGGTCGGGTCTATTATCAACAGATCCGGACCCAGACCCGATTTGTATGTACGAATCATGGTTTGAATCTGGGGCGCTTAAAAATCAAAATTCTACTCGTGATAAAACAAGAACAAAAGTGATGACATGTGTGTCATCGAGGCCGCAAACAATTAAGATATAATTGAAGTAGTTTTTCAGCTTTCAATGATAAAAATATTTTAAAATGTTGTGTTTTAACTATAAATATATTTAGAATAAAGATACTTTCACAAATTTATGAATTTACTGTATAAATCTTTATATATTATTGCCGAACTTAATAGTGTTAGTATTAGTACTAGTATTTGTAGTATTAGTAGTAATAGTAGTAGTAGTAGTAGTAGTAGTAGTAGTAGTAGTAGTAGTAGTAGTAGTAGTAGTAGTAGTAGTAGTAGTAGTAGTAGTTGTAGTAGTAGTAGTAGCAGTAGTAGTAGTAGTAGTAGTAGTAGTAGTAGTAGTAGTAGTAGTAGTAGTAGTAGTAGTAGTAGTAGTAGTAGTAGTAGTAGTAGTAGTAGTAGTAGTAGTAGTAGTAGTAGTAGTAGTAGTAGTAGTTGTAGTAATAGTGCTCATTCGAGTGTTTGACACTGACCCCTTGGCAACCATTGAATTGAGGTAGTGGCGATAAAGAGTTGCAGCACTTTGTTTTATAAGAAAAAACCGTTAAAAAAATCATTAGATTTAGTTTTAGAAATTTTCGTAAACAACATGGCAGCGTGGCCGAGTGGATAGTGTGCTGATCTTCTGAAAAAGTAAGCCTTGGTTCTAGTCTTACCACCGGCAACTTTTTTTTAAAAATTTTTTTCGATTATTTTAAAATACAAAACACTTTTGAAGTTTTATCGAGATTATATAAAAACATATGTAACAATATTTAACAAACTTTTAACACTTTAACGAACGAAAAGATTTTAAAAAAGCTAATATTTCTAAAATCATCAAAACACCAGGAGAAAAAATTTGTTGCGTTTGTGTCATGCACGATTCAGATACTTATGTTAATAATGTGCTCAGGTAATTAGACCTAATAAGCTGCGGCTGGTCTGAAAAAAAATTTGTCGGAAACTTAATAAAAAAAAGCTTTTTAAGACAGTACTGCTACTCCAGAAAATGCTGCTTAGGAGATAAAAAAAAGCCCGTAGCTAGAAAAAAATTTAAAACTTTCTTTTGACAACTAAAGGTTTTTTATCCTACATTTACTTTTTTACTATAAATATATGCTGCAGCCGTTTTTCAAAACGCCTTGCTTATTACGTGTTTCGAGAAAAACGCAATTAAAAAAAAAACTATAAAAAAATTAAAAACTATCTCTTTGTAAAACGTTTTTTGAAACAAATAACTTTTATGAATTTTTTCAGAACTCTTTGA